AAGGAAGACATACTTATAAGAATATTATGTATAAATATATTTATATTATAAAAAGGTATTTTGTAAGATTATTTTTTTTCAACTATTTAAGAAATGTGTGTAATGAAATAACTCAAAAAGTAAGAGTTTTCTTATTTTACTACATACTCACTTATTCCACGCATAAATCTATTTATTTCTCATACGTACACAAGTTAAATGAGACTATTTTACACCTCTATCATTTATTGTGTCAAGATATGTATTAGGATTTGTACTTCATACTACCATGCATCAAGCCTTTTGCTATTATTGATCTCACTGACTTAATTATTTTACAATCCTAATGTACTGTTTTTAAATTTTCCAGGCCTTTTTTTGGGATTAAACTTAACGTTTATGAGATAAAATTGAGTTTCATACGTAGGTCTAAAACTTAAAATAATTCGTTTATTCGTTTATGTATGCTTTATTAAAAAGTGATTACGTTTTTGAAGACAAGGCTAATATCTCTTCACACTGACAGCTTAACTGTAATAAGGACTCATACAATATAACTGAGCCTTAGAGTATTCGAATAAAAAAATTCATATTATAATAACAATATCTCATTTTCACATTTATTAGAAAATAATATGAAATTTTTCAATTAGCGACTGGTATTGTTCATGACAGCTTCAGTTGTTTGCTGTTATTGATGCACACGTGTCAGTAACACAAGCTTTTGCACGTGTGGTGTATGCTACTGTTCGACAAAACGTGCACAATTTAGAGTAAGATTTAGAGCCATTTTTTGTCGCTCTGCCAAAACCTCATGCACTCATGTACACATGCACTCGCATGAGTGCGTGGCATGAGCTGTGAGTAACGAGCGTAAATCAAGAGCCATGACAGGTAGCTTAAAATTAAGTCCCCGGACATGGCGTGTTATAATTAATGTTGTAAGCTTTTTCCATGTTAAATAACATTATTAGGAGGAAATTCTAAATAATTTATAAAGTTTTCTCTAAAATGGCTTCAATTCAGCGAATTCAGCGTTTATATAAAAACATTTTCTTTAATTCCTGGGGTAAGCTAGTAAGAACTATAAGAAAAGTATCCGTTTGTTTTTTTTTAAGTATGCTTCAAAAAAAAAGTACAATTAAAAAATTTTTTGACAATCCATTACATAAAGGAATCCAAAACTTTTGTGGTTGAAACACGTGACAATCAAAGAAAATTTATTGTTACAATTTTTTGTACGAAAAATTCAACAGAAAATTTTGAGGTCAAAAGGCAGTTTTTAAAGCTTACTTTTGTCTAACTAACAAATACAAACTTTATTTAAACGGTGTGACAAATTTAAAGTAACATAGAATCATTATGATTGGCTACATTAGTTGAGTTTCTTAAGCATTTTTAACTCGTTTTTAAGTCTCGAAAATTTTAAACATCTGAGTAATGATAGTAACTTTACATCGAAGTAGAAAATTTAAGTGTATCAAATTTCCGTATAATGCTTGGAATTTCGTTGATTTTGTAAATACAGATTTAAGTAACACCTTCTGATTGTCCTTGACAATAATGATTATCTAAACATAACAGCGAAAGTAGAGTTCAGAATCTAATATCCATTTAACAACACAGTACATAATGTACTTTATCATTGATTTAACATTCAAAATTAGTGAAGAATATCGTGAATTTAGCAAACATCAATCAATTTTATTTATAAACTTTAGTTGAACTTATTCATTATTAGTCCTTAATTAGTCAGATATGTCCAGTAACTATTCTGGTAAGTATTGAAATAATTGCTATGACATATAAGTAAATTTATTTTAAGAATATAATTCATACTAATAGAGGAGTATCAAATGATTTTGAAATACAATATTACAAATTGTAATGCACAAAAACTGATGTTGACGCTAGAGCTACGATAGAGTCTACTCATAAAGATTTTCTTAAATTTTATTTTACAGTCTTTGTATGATTATTAAGAAATTCACCAAAATATACCGGTAAACTCAACAATTTTTCAGTTTAATGTTATAAAAAGATGTAATACAAACTGAATACTACTTGATGATTTATAAAACTGTTTATTACATATTTTAAACGACACAAAGATTTTATATTTTAAGACAATAGGAAAACAACTTTTAGTTTACCACAGTTTTGTACCTTACTTCTTAGTTAACATGGCTAACGAAAAAAACTTCTGGTAAACTTACAAAAACCATTAATGTGTGCATATTTTTATCAGATGTATCGATTAAGCATATAAATGAACACGATATCAAGTCAAAAAATATACAAGCAAGAATTATCATTGATAAAGTAGTTTATTATTTGACGTTACTGATAAGTCACACTTGAAATATTAAAAGAGGTGTTTTCATAACAGTCATGAGTGGTTGTTTCGATATTATTACACTGAATGTAACATTGACATACTTTGTATTATATAAGCTGACGATTCTTATTTGTTTCTAAAATTGTCAAATGTAAGTTATTTGTTTTAATCTTGATATTGTTATTATAAAATTAGTACTAACTGATTTGAGGGCTTCAGATAAGAAACCAATTTACTTCTAAAAAAATCATTAGTTAAAATATAAGGTTCTTTGCAAAATTGGCATATCATACATTACAAAACAGTTTGAAAAAATATAAAAAATTTTTTAATTTCACAACATTTGCACTTACTCCTTTATCAATAATGAAAAAAATTACATTGACTCTTTAGGTGAAGACAGTATTGATGAACTCGAAAGGATAAATGTCTAAATTTTATTGGGAAAGTTGTTCTGTATCGTATGTGGGTGAAACTAAGCACACCACAGAAGTTTATACAAATGAGCAGAAAAAGTGTACTAAGCTTGATTCTATAGTTGATGCACACTAGAGTACATATAACTATTAGTTTAATTGAAATAATACAAGAGTCTTTGACACAGAATCGCATTATAATAAGCGATTTATTTCGGAAACGACTCGCATAAGACTTGGTAAAAATAATGTCAATTAAAAGGAAGACATACTTTTGTAAAACAAATTATGTATTCCTTCGCTACGACAGTTTAAAAGTCCGAATAGAGTTTAACGTAATAATGCTCAACGTAGTGTGATGATTGGCATTGCATATTTTAAGTATGTCATTCGTTTTCCAACGAACAGTCTGCATACTCACAAAATGTTAGTATAATTAATTGTTTTGTGTAATTCAGGTAAAGAGACATATTTGCGTATTATGACAACTTTTGATAACTTTGTTGTAAGTAAATTTAAAGTAAGTCTCTAAAAAGTGTTTAATTAATTTTGTTTAGCCTGATGAGGGTAGTGCAAATGGCCAACGAAATGTTACAATAAGAAAGAAGCAGTAAATTTTAAGTACAACTTTAGATGTATTTATTATCTCCCTTCTAATTGACTCCCAACGGATTACTGATTATGGACGTTTTCTTAATCTTATCAGAGAGCACTAATAAATGTATAATACCCGTATTTAAGTTAGATTTTTTATAAATGTGCAAAGATCTTTTTTAAAATACTGTTATTTTTTGCACTAACATTTTTTCTAGGCATTGGAGCCACTGTTAAAACATTAAGTTCCCAACAGATTTTCTCAAAATTTTACTAAATATCTGTACCTCACATTTCCTATGGTAATGTA